AGTGGGCGACTTACTAGACTCCCCTTAAGTCTTCCCTGAACTCTCGCGATATTACCGCGTCTGTCCCGCAATCTTCCTTTTCCGGGAGTCTCTCAAGATGGTAGGTTGACGTCTAATTTATATCCAATAATCCAAATCAATCTACTGTAAATATGATGCATATCAGAGTAGAAAATGTGAATAAAGCTCACTTAAGAACGGATGCACGCTTTCAGGCCATTATTTTTCGCGCGGGATGAAAGCTTCGGTGTTCGATTAGCGGCTTCAGGCTTGTGCTGTAGTTCTAAATCACGCGCGATGGTATTCCTGCGTCCGTTTAAATCCAATCAAATAGGCATGTTTTATTGTGCTACTCGCTGTTTATGTGTTCGTTAACACGCTAAGAGTTCCCGAAAGGCCCGTGGAGGGCGGCTGACGGTGGTTGTGTTTCTCACAGGCGGACGCCGAGCAGAAGAAGAAGCGCACCTTCAGGAAGTTCACCTACAGAGGTGTGGACCTGGACCAGCTGCTGGACATGTCCTAGTGAGTCAAAGCTCTGTCGTCTGAAGGTGAAACATGTCGAGAGAAGCGAGGAATGCTTGCCTCCAGTGGCAGTGGCAGCATTCTTCTGAGGGACACGATATGCTGGAATATCCGAGCTGATCTGTTTCAGATAACACAGTTTCTGCAGGGCTTATGAAGGGAAATGTGTGACTTCTTAAAATTCCAAATAAAGACATTTTAAAGACTGAATTGATTGGAACACGTCAATACGGTATTTAAAGTTTTTACAAAAAAACAAAGTCATTGTTTTTGTCTTTAAAGGACTTATTAGTTAAAAATGAGACGCTATTGTTTAATTGTTTTCATTTTTGAATACTAAGTTCTTTAATAGTTATGATGCTAAATGCCCATTTCATGAACCTGCTGATTTACCTGAAATGCATGTTTCACAGCATTCAATCAGGGTTTCGGCAGGTCTTGAAGTCTTAATTCATGCCTTCAGAAATTAAGGCATTACATGTTGCAAACTTTGTGTAAAATGTATTAAAAAGTAATGGTGATCAGTTGGAATTTGCATCTTCAAACTTTGAAGTGTTGCTAATACAAAACATATGTAGAGAATATATTCATGTATGGTATTCTATTACATTTATTTTATGCATTTTCATCATTGCTAAAAGGTCGTATATTTACCATAAAACCTGCAGAAACCATATTAAAAAGTATGGACTGTAGTAGGTAAGCTGATTTGTAAGAAGCAGATCTAGCTTTTTATTTTAGACAATTTCAACAACAGGGTTGGAGTACTTAAAAATAAAAAGACAACCTAAACATGAAAATTAAAAAAAACAACTGCTTTTCAAGTGACCAGAACAATACTCTGCTGAATAACTCAGAAATTGACATCATCTGATATTAGTTAAATAAAATAAAGGCTAGTAATAGCCTGAAATACATAAAATAGTTCAATCTTCTTTACAGTAAATGCTTCCAGTAACAGTATTGCACTGTCATGTTACAGAATTTTGAATATTTCATCTTGAGGTTATTACTTTTGGGCTGACAACGTCATAGGACGTATTAATCCCATTTAAGCACATACAGGTGCATCTAAATAAATTAGAATGTCGTGGAAAAGTTCATTTTATTTCAGCTCAAATTGTGAAACTCGTGTATTAAATAAATTCAATGCACACAGACTGAAGTAGTTTAAGTCTTTGATTCTTTTAATTATGACTTTGGCTCAAATTTAACAAAAACAAATCAACAAATTAGAATATGGTGACATGCCAATCAGCTAATCAACTCAAAACACCTGCAAAGGTTTCCTGAGCCTTCAAAATAGTCTCTCAGTTTGGTTCACTAGGCTACACAATCATGGGGAAGACTGCTGATCTGACAGTTGTCCAGAAGACAATCATTGACACCCTTCACAAGGAGGGTAAGCCACAAACATTCATTGCCAAAGAAGCTGGCTGTTCACAGAGTGCTGTATCCAAGCATGTTAACAGAAAGTTGAGTGGAAGGAAAAAGTGTGAAAGAAAAAGATGCACAACCAACCGAGAGAACCGCAGCCTTATGAGGATTGTCAAGCAAAATCGATTCAAGAATTTGAGTGAACTTCACAAGGAATGGACTGAGGCTGGGGCCAAGGCATCAAGAGCCACAACACACAGACGTGTCAAGGAATTTGACTACAGTTGTCGTATTCCTCTTGTTAAACCACTCCTGAACCACAGACAACGTCAGAGGCATCTTACCTGGGCTAAGGAGAAGAAGAACTGGACTGTTGCCCAGTGGTCCAAAGTCCTCTTTCTCATCATGGACCGCAGAACGAAGGAAGACACGTTGAAGGCATTGTTCTCTTTTAGTAGTTTCTTTTCTCTCGTTCCCTGATGGGCAAATCCAGCCCTTGAGGAAAGAAAAAGGCATCTTTATTGGTAAAAAAAAACCTACTATAAGCACAAACAGAGATACTTGTGTTCAAGCTGGCAAAGGGCAAGGCAAGGACAAATGTGGGTTACACTTTATCTCAACAGTCCACTTTAGACATTCCACTAACTATAAGTACATTTGCAACTACATGTTAACTAAAGGCTGGAATATACTACATGACTTTTGCCTAGATTTTTACCCAAATTTACAAGCCACTAGTTGCCGAAAGTCATAGAAAATCACGTAGTGTATGATGATCACAGACTCTGACAAACTTTTTAAACTGTGCCCATCATGCACTACACAAATAAACAGACGACTCAAATCAACTACTACAAGCACAAACAGAGATACTTGTGTTCAAGCTGGCAAAGGGCAAGGCAAGGACAAATGTGGGTTACACTTTATCTCAACAGTCCACTTTAGACATTCCACTAACTATAAGTAAATTTGCAACTACATGTTAACTAAAGGCTGGAATATACTGCATGACTTTTGCCTAGATTTTTACCCAAATTTACAAGCCACTAGTTGCCGAAAGTCATAGAAAATCACGTAGTGTATGATGATCACAGACTCCGACAAACTTTTTAAACTGTGCCCATCATGCACTACACAAATAAACAGACGACTCAAATCAAATCTGCAGACACATGCAACATACCCATTGTGTCTTGCCAAAAAGTACCCCTAGAGCACGATGCTTCTAACATGGACCTTAGTGAGCGTAGCGCCATATTACATTTTTGACAGCATTGAAAACAAGGCTGAGAGGGATAAAAAATAGTGTGTTTAATATATTGCAGTATTTGTTCAGCCGACGGATCCTTTCAGAAAAAAATAACCTTTATGTAGACAAAGAATATGTGATCTAGGACCTTTATACAGCGTGTACCATCGCAAAGACTGTAATTCCTTCCTTTTAATCCACATTAAATTCAATGTGATGTCTAATCTGACTGTGGTCTCTTAATGTTAGAAGTTAAAGTAGCATGTTGGTTTGTTTTTGCGCCAAATATAGTACTTTGCTGTCAGGCCTATTAGCTAATCTCACAGTACCACAGAATAATGGCACCAACTAGCATCTCCATGAATTATATTCCATTTCAGAGCGTGAAATATATGACACCCTTCCCAAAACTCAAACACCAGAACATATTTTGTTAGGATCTGTATTGGACAGTATATTAGTACCATAAGTTTAATTATTCATAAAAATTAGCTTCACATGTACAGCAAACGAATTGTGCCTCAACATTTCCTCAAGCATTATGAAATGCATATTTATAAAAGCTTTAAAAATACATGACAACCAAACTAATTGTAAGAATCTATTTGTTCCCCTCCTCAATGCTCCTTAGCGCTTTGGTCTTCATAACATTGGGTTGAATCTGTTCTATTTTAATTGTGAGTTGTCACAATGTCACTGGATTATATGATGCAATTAATTGAACACTAACCGTTGGATGCAAAATCAACATGGTGTGTACTGTGACAATCTACTTAAGCAATGCGTTATATTGACTGTCAAAAAGGACTGATATTGACATTCAAGTAAATAATAAAAGATTTTTAAAATATATATAGCCACCAAGCAAAAATCCCATGTAAAAATTGAGTAAATCTTTTTCAAAAGCAGTGCATTGTTGCATCACAATTTGGAACTGCCTTTCCTTTCGTTAAGGCTTTGACCTTTTGGGTTGCCTCCAATTTTAGCTATGATAAATAAATGCATTTTTTTAAAATTCCCTACATACTGTAGAGAGAAATATCTTACCAGATTATCGATGTCCCCGATACATGTAAAAGCTAGACTGTTGACTCCAGTAGCTTCTCTTCACAGTGTACTGAAGTTGCGGGTTGGTAATCTGCAACCCCCAATCCAATAATCGAATCTAAATAGAATCTCTTTCCACGTGATACAATGACTTTAAAGACAAGTAGAAGACTTTATTTAATGTAAAACTTATAAAAATAATTAAAAGAGCAAGAGCAGGTCTGTTTTTCGCTTTCATTAAGTCCCTATCTTCCAAATCTACATGGTCAGTAAGAAGTCCAGATTAAAGCGGATTACACCTGTTGAGCATATGCTGTTACATCCTCAGTGAACACATGCACTGACTGTTACCCATCATCTAGCGCAGGGTTCCTCAAATCTTGCCCTGAAGGGCCAGTGCGCTGCAGAGTTTAGCTCCAACCCTGATCAAACTCACCTACCTGTGATTTTCTAATGATCCTGAAGGCATTGATTAGCTTGCTCAGGTGTGTTTGATTAGGGTTAGAGCTAAACTCTGCAGGAAAGTGGATCTTGTGGGCCAGATTTGAGGATCCCTGATCTAGCGCATTGAATTTATGAATTATCTTGAAATCTAAATTAAATTTGGCTTGACACTAAAACCTTTTTAAGTCTCATTTTTATTAAGTCTCACAAAAAAAAATGTTGACCTCAAACAGAAGTTGGGAAGGCTTCATAAGAACAAGAACATACAAATGCAGGTGTAATAGCGGTGAGTAATGCAGTATCTCTTTCAGCTAGAGTTCAACTCGAGATGGGCTGCTCTCTGCACACTCCCTCCCCCTTACTCAAAACATGTTGCATGCATTCTTTTTTGTTAATGTTGATGGCTTCAATAAATTTAAATCTTTTCAACAAGAAAGAATTTCGCAGGCAAATGGCTTGAAACAGCTGACTTAACCTCACATCATGTCTCCAGCCACAATGAAAACAGTATACTTGTGGACTCAAAAGCACGCTTGCTTTAAGTATTAAGCCTCATGTGTAAAGCTCCTCCTGTTTATTGTAGCCTATCATCCTGCAACCACAGCTCACCGACTCCCTCTGCAGGTTAAAAGAGGAACTGCTGCATCGCTGCACCTTAAATCTCAGAACACCAAATTAAAACCACAAATCCAGATAAAGGGGAGACACTATTAAACTCGAACCTGGGAAAATTCCATCATATTTAGAAGGCAAACAGACTGAAACTGAATCCGCACACAGGGATCAAGTCAAATATCGAGCCAGGCATCTGAAGGCAAGTGATCCGTTTATGAGTGTGGAACGAACACAGCACTGAAAACCTATATGACAGCGGGGGAAGTGAAAGAGACTGACATTTGTATTTGTTTACATGACCCGAAATGTTATCCTCAACCTGTGACAACAGAAAACAGTCCTAACAGTGCTTTCATGCACAAGTATGCACCTGCTAGGAAGACCGTCACATTACCAACACAAAATACTACATCTAAATCTGCCGAACGTGGCTGTACATTTCTGAATTTTCCCTTTTTGGACACAGAAGAGAGAGACCCTGTGTGTTTGGAGTATATCTTGAAAGCAGTCATTCACAGCTGAGATTACTATGGTGTTTTTAAACTTTTACACTGCATTACGTCTCCTAACAAATCAAATTTCACACACGTCTTCTTAGCAGACATTCGTTATTATGTGCTTGTTGAATATCGCTATACCCCCCACCGCATATATCGTGATTCAGAGTTCAGCAGAATCGTCAAAGCTGGCAGTGAAACCCGTCGTGCCTCGCACGTTCAGAACCGGGCAGACGGGCTGGGTGAGGGGCACTGACTGCATCAGGAAGCACTCAGTAAAATTAAAAAAAGCACACTGTAAGAGAAGTGTTCTTCCATTTCCTTTCTTTCTGAGATGAAATTCCTGTGTGGCGTGCGGGTGTTTGGGCTTGTTGTGTCCGTTCTTGTGCTGTCGGATGGTGGGTTCCTCTAGGAGTCCTCGTTCATCTCCTGGCTATCTGTCCGGGCGATTTTGCGGGGAGGCGCTGGGCTGCCGCCCTCCCCTTCTGCTTGCTCCTGCTCTCGCTTTTTAGCTGCATTCTGCAAGACATTTTTAAAAAACCTGAAGTTTAAATTCATCATTCTAGTAGCTAGATAGAGGTTTGTGCGAGAACAAATTTCCAGTCCTGCTCCCGCTAAAAATAAGCTTCCCACTCCTGTCCATAACATTTGTGTTTTGTCTCGCTCTCACCTGCAACCAGAGCCGATTGCCAGGCAACTACATGGGGGGCATTAATATT